GGGGCCACCACCCGGCCGTGGGACAGAGCAGCTTTGGGGACAAGACACCACTGTGAAATTTTGATGACTAGTTTCTCCGTAGCCTATGAACCTGGTTAGAGGGAGCTGAGCCCCCTGGGGAGGGTGAGGGCTGGGCCACATCCTGCTCCCACAAAGCCTCCCAGCCCAAGGTCAACCCAGCATCGCAAACCTGGAGGGACCTGGTTTCCTGGAGATGGGGAAAAATGAAAAAGAATAGTAATTAAACCCAAATCTCGTAGAAAATGATCCATCTGCAGCCAGGGGCGTTATGGAAGGAGTGGGGCAGGTGCCCAGGGGCAGCAAGAAGGGCTGGTGGGCAGCTGGGGTGTCCCCACCGTGAAGGCAGAGGGACAAATCCCACCTCCGCTGAGGCTGGTCCCCCACCTCGCTGCGTGTGGGGAAGGCAAATGGCTTTTCCAGGCAGTGTCGGGAAGCTGGAGAAGATGCTGCTGGTGCTGTCCTGTCCTGCTGCCAGCCCACCGCTGGGACGGCTCAGCCAGCAGCTCCCGCTTCTGCAGCTCGGGATTTCCTCCAGAAAAGCTCCCCGGGGTGGCTCTTGGCGAGGGAGGATGGAGCCAAGCATGTGCGCCTCAGTGCCCCGCCAGCCCCAAAATGCCACCGCCCAGCCCAACACCTCTTCCAAAAGCACCAGCGACCTCTTGGTCACCTTCCTCAGCTGCATCCTGGCCACCATGTGTGCAGTTGGGGTGGTGGGAAACATCTACACACCGGTGGTCGCCACCATCTCCACAAGGTGCCCCAGCTCCATAGAGGTGTACCTCGTCACCTTGGCCCTGGCCGATCGCCTGTCCTTACCCACCATTCCCTTTGTGGTCTGCCTGTACTTTCTGGAGGACTGGTACTTTGGAGACCTGGGCTGCAGGTTCCTCTTCAGCCTTGACATCCCCACCACGCACACCAGCATCTTCATCCTCACCATCATGAGCACCGAGCTCTACCTGGCTGTCGTCAGGTCTCTGGACACCCTGCACAGGTCGAGGGACCACTGGTGGGCGGTCACCTGCTTGGTGTGACTGGTGGCCTTCCTCCTCACCCTTCCCAGCCTGACCCTCATCGACCTGCGCACCAGCCACCGCGATGGGGTGACCAAGGGCGTGTGCCACCCCACGTGGCGGATGGGAACCCACAAGGTGTATCTCACCATCCTCTTCAACACCTGCATCCTTGCCCTGGGCGCCATTATCTACTGCTTGTACACCAAGCTGGCTAGGACCTACTGGAGGTCCCAGCAGGCTCTTGTTCCCAACATGGGGGAAACTGGCCAATGTCCCACGCAGTAGGTCCTGTGTATGATCCTCAGCACCGTGCTCACTTACTGGACTTGCTTTCTGCCCTTCTGGCTGTGGCAGCCCCTCAGTACCTCTTGGTAGGAACAGGGGGACTGGGGTGGCACCGCTGTCATCTCGGTCAGCTATCTAGGAGCTCTATTGAAAACTGGTTTATTACCAGGTTAATCTGAACAACAATTTCCCAGAGGGAATCTGGCACTGCAAGTCCTCTGGAAACCACTTTTCCAGACAATTTCAGCCAAACACTTGGAGATGAGCTGTTTGCTGAGGGCTCCCCATGGACCACCCTCCCATGCTGCCCATGTGCCACCAACGTGTCCCTCTTCCTGCAAAAGGGGAGTGAAATTTCGAGGCCTGGGAAGCGAGGGGAGCTCCCCTTGGATTCCCACCAAAAAGCAAAGGCGTAAGGACCCCCAATACGGGGGGGGGGGATGTCCCCAATTCTGAGCAACACTCGTGGGTGCTGGGGGACCTCACTGTGTCCCCTGCAGTGGCCATCGATGCTCATGGAGGTGAAGCAAGTGACATGGAGCCACCCAGGACGTCGCATTTCCCTCTGGGCCAGCAGCTGTCCCAGGCGGGGACGTCGGTGCGGGCAATACCGGGAGGTGGCAGGGGCTCAGCCCACCCATGGCTGCAGGAGGTCAGCCCTGGCCCTCCCAAAACCCCAACACAAGGCTGTGTCAAAGGACAGTGTAGGCAGCCCATGGCAGCCAGCAGGGATCCGTCCCTTCGGAGGAAGGACCTTCCCTTGCCACCCCCCTGCGCGGCCACTCCAACCAGATCGGCATCGTGCGGACATGTCACCGTCGCCGCCCCTTCTGCGTCCCTACCGAGACCCACGGCATCAGCCTCGCGCGTCCTCGCGGGCTCAGGAAAGGCTGCCCAGGGCAGGCGTCACCGGCCACCTCCCCTCGGGGGCAATGAGGACCAGGCACACTCCCGGACCTGACCCCTGTGGGACTTCAACAGCAGGTCTTGCTTGACTGCGCTCAAGACCAGACTCGGGGGGAGGCAGCCAGGCTCATTGAACCAGCACCCAATTAAAATTCCGTGTCAAAACCTCCCAGACCAAATGCTTTACCCTGCCCAGGAAGGTGCAGTAGCGCTCTGACCAGGGTTACCTCTGTACAAGAGACGAGGCTGGACCAGCAAGACTCACGTTGCCTGCTTATCTTTTCCGCCTCATCACCACCCCCAGACTGTTTCTCTCAGACCTTCTCCTAAAACCTGGCCCAACGCCACGACCAGTTCTAGGGCCTGCCTGGCCCTCCAGGCACATTTCTCTCCCCCTCCCAGCCCAGGGCTCAGCCATAGGGTTTCCAGCCGCAGCCTGACCTCCGTTCCAGGTGCCAACTGCTTCCGAACCCGGGACAGAGATCAGCAAACTTGGCACGACTCTCCCACAGCCATCTGCGAAGCCACGCTCACCCGCCCCTGAAACACCCCTCCTCTGCAGGCCGTCAAAACCAGGTGGTGGTGTGAGAGAACATCTCAACCTGGTGGTGCTTAACCTCCTTCCTGCCATCTTAGGGCCAGCCGTGAGCTCTCCAGGCAGATTTTCTTTTATTGCACGTCTGTGCAACGCAGCAGCAGCCTGGGCCCATGTCAGGAGCTCTTGTTCTCTGAGGGATATAAGTGATGCAACAACGCTGCGGCCAAGGCTGGGAGAGGGTCCGCGGGAGAGCTGGGCGTTGTTGGCATCGTCCATCCAGCAAGGAGCTGTGAGGTGGCAGAAGGGGGTTTCAGAGGTTCATGACCCCCTTCTGACCTTGTTTCACATTAGCGTGATGGGGAGACCCCACCTGCAGTGCTGTGGCCAGCTCCGGAGTCCTCAGCGCAAGATGTGGACCCGCTCCAGTGGGTCCAGATGTGGCCACGAAGATGCTCAGGGGGCTGGAGCAGCTCTCCTGTGAGGACAGGCTGAGAGAGTTGGGGTTGTTCAGCCTGGAGAAGAGAAGGCTCCGGGGAGACCTTAGAGCCGCCTTCCAGTATCTAAAGGGGGCTACAGGAAAGGTGGGGAGGGACTCTTGATCAGGGGGTGTGGTGATAGGATGAGGGATAATGGTTTTAAACTAAAGGAGGGTTGATTTAGACTGGGTATCAGGAATTTTTTTACTATGAGGGTGGTGAGACACTGGCACAGGCTGCTCAGAGAACTGGTCACAGCCCCATCCCTGAAAACACTCGAGGTCAGGTTGGACGTGGCTCTGAGCAGCCTGATCCAGCTAAAGGTGTCCCTGCTCACGGCAGGGGGCTGGACGAGATGGCATTTAAAGGTGCCTTCCAGCCCAAACCATTCTGGGATTCGATGATCACAGAGAGAGGCAGCATCCTCTCCTCCTGCCCTCCACCGCCCCCACCCCCCCGACCTGAAGGGATTTAATCTGTGATTTATTTCTCAGCAAAGCTTTGGGGTTTCAGTTTTACCGTAAGCCACACGTGAAGAACGGCTGAAAAGAGAAGCGAGAGGGAGGGTTTAGCTCGGCATCCAACAGCAAAGTACCAACAGAAAACCAGAAAGGTTTGCTTGTGAATCGAAAGCTGTTCCGCCGTGGCTTTTCAAAGCACAGGGCAGTGGGCAGGGGCTGTCTTTCCCCACGCGGGCAGAGTGCCCCGGACACAGGAGCATCAACATCAATCAGAAAAGAAATTGCCACTACGAGACCAGAGCGCCTGCTCACAGCCTGGTTTTGTACCTCCTGCAGAAAGAGGCAGCGACTGGAAAATTTGAGGAGTTCCATGGACTCGCCAAGCTTCCATAAAGAGAGATGGTCAATTCCTTGAGCTCTGTAAGGTTTCTTAAGAGGGATATTAATTTTTAAATCATGTTTTCAAAAAGTCACAGAGTGCAGAATCCTACAGGAACCCCTCCACAGCACACCCCATCCACCGGAGTCCCCCTCTCTCTCAGCTACCTCCGCACACCAAAAGGGTACCAGAAATCAGGCAGACTTCACAAAAAGGATTTATTCAAAGAAAACACAAAGCAAGATCAGTGCTTGACAGAGCCCTGACAGCATTTGTTGCCCCAAATCATCAAGCAAAAAGTGTTCAGTCCGTGCTGCTGGCTGAAACGAGGGGGTGGGCAAAACCGGCTCCCCAGTCATTTGCTCATGTATGAGTGCATGTGATCATCCTGCAAAGTTACTCAAAGAATAAAAAACATTATTGAATTGTTCCTCCTCCCTTTTTTTTTAAAGAAAAGAAAAGAAGAGAAAAAAAACCAAACCAAAAAACCCCCCAAAACCCAACCCAAAATATGCACAGATGAAAGAAATCCCAGCTTTCAGCTTCAGAGAGGGAGGGCTCTGCTGCAGCACGCACCCCAGTACTGGGCGCTCAATGATCACCGCCAGCGTCATCCTCAGGCTCGTACCTGTCTTTTTTCACTTGCAAAAAATTACTAATTAGGTAAAAACCCCAACAAACAGGAAAGCAGAGATTCATCAGCATTAATGAATCTCTCTCCAACTCTCATTAAGGTGAGGGGATCATAATTTCTTTCCTGAAAATTGAGGTTTTGGAAAAATAACAGAAGAAATAATAAGGTAAGAAGGGAACAAGGTAAAAGGCTGGTGATTAATCAGTTAAAGAAGTGTTCTACCTGGAAAGGAGGAGTTTTGTCTGGGCAGTCCGTGTAACTGTTAAAGCAGCTGCATTTCCACGCCGTGCCCACCGAGTCGGCCACCCCAACCCCAATCCCACCGCAGAGGTGCTCCTACTCGGAACGGCGTGAGCCAGTGTTGTGAGCAAACGCTGCTGCTCGACAGACACGAGGGACCGGTGCTGACACCAGGGCAGCTTCACCACACGGAACTCTGGGTCCGCCAAACAAACTGGATTTTCTTTTTTAACCTTCCTCGCCGTTTCGCGTTGCTCCGTCATTTTCAGTAACGGCAAGGTTTTGTTGCTGCCTTTAACACTCTGCCTTTATCCTCCACCCCCACCTCCAGCTACGCTAAGCACAGCTCTGCCACACTCCTCCATTAGGAGCCTATCAATTTTCCGGCGACTTCCATAAATATTTTAACAAACAAAATGGCGGATACCCAGAGTTTAAAGTTGTGAGTTTATTGCATATGTAACAAAAATGAACATGACCTCCTGGGTCCAGCCTACTATACAATCACTGTTTATTCCAGCTGGTTCCATAACCACATTAAATAGAACTAGTATTTCTTTAAATACTTTGATTTAGACATAAAATGAAACATTAGTGTACAACTTTCACAAAATAAATCTGCAATAAAAACAGTGGGAAGAATAACAAGGATAGCAGCAATACTTAAACATGACATTACAAAATAATAAATTAAAAAAATACATTATAAAGTGGTTGAGGAACAAAAAAAAAATTAACAAATTAAAACCAGATCCATACTGTGTTTCTGGGAACTTGCTGTGCCACACTGCCCTGAACCTGGGCACCGGCTCCAGAGGGCCCAGTGGCTGGATCACTGATTTACAAAATCGGTTGGATTTCATAACCACCTCGACTCGAACTAAGCACATACTGCTGAGCAAACGCCGATTTCGCCATCCGGAGCGTCGAGCAGCCTTTTTGAAGCAGGGTCTCGTCTAACATAATGCCCAAGTTTAACGCTAACATTCATAAAACAGTCTCGTTTCTTCCCGATTTAAAACACGAGCAAAGTGGTGGTTTCCTACATCCCTGAGCATATAGTATAGGCTGATGAGCAGTATCGGGGCAAGCACTGAAGGTCTGTGCCAACGGACCAGCGGTTAGGTTTGCCTTTAGGACAGGAACAAAAGACACGCTGTACCTTGTATCTCCTTCAGGTCAGATCCAAGAGTATCCGTGCAGAAGGTGGAACGTGGAATGACAAAACGAACACCAGACTCGATGTTATTCTTTGGGCAAGTTTGAGAAGTAACAACCAGTTCAAGTGCTGGCAGACCGAGTGGGAACGAACGTACAAATTCAGACAGCTGAGGTTATCCGAACAGCTCCCGAGACCTCCGAGAGT